GCAGGAGGAGTCAGTCACATTCCACATAGAGCCGTGAGTGACAGGGAAGAGCCTAGGCTTCATGGCCCAAGTCCTACACTGAGCAGTCAGATGTACACACCTGCAGCCTACGGACAACTGTGACTGGAGATTGCCAGGGGAAGCATTGGGTACCAGGTACCACACCATCCCCTCTACGTACCCTGAATCCTCCTCAACTCCAGGGCTCATCATGAAGCCCATTTTCCAGAGAAGGAGGGAGGGTCCCCTCCTACCATGGGAAACGGCTAGAGCCTCCCAATATCTAGGTTCCTGGGCCCTGATCCTCAGGGCTCTGCTGCTCTGTGACCCGTGCCCTCTCTGGCCCTCAAAGCCTTGTCTTTCCCTGTAGAACCATGCAGCTGTGCAGACAGGTGTCACAGCTGAATACGCTGGGGTCCAGAGAAGATATGTGACTAACCCAAGGCCACAGAGCCTGTGGGGGACCTAGCCCGCTCTCCACAGAGCCGGACTGTCACTGCGTCTCACTAAGTTTCTCCTGCTGCTTTGTTCCCCTCTTAGTGAAAGGGGGAGGGCACTCAGGGACAACAGAAACCCCATTCTCTGGTCCTTCCCTCTCCACCACACCTCCATAGAGCCGTCACTCCAGACCTGGAAACCGTCCCAAGATGTATGTCGGAGACTGCCTCCCCCAAGGCTTTTCTTTGATTGATAAGGGTTGGACAGAGGTGACTGAGCAGGGAACACACTTTATCCTACACGACAGCTTTCCCTGGACAGACCCAAACCTGAGTGCCCAACCAGTCACTCCCTGCACCTCTCAGCAGGACCCCCCACCCCAGGCCCCCATGGTGTCACCACCGCTGCACAGCCACCGAGTACACCCGTCCCCTCTCATCCAGAAGAGGCCCAAGGTTGGCAGGCAAGGTCAAGGCCAAGCCAAAACCGACCAAGTGACAAGAAGTGGCTTCCCCCCACCAGCCCTGACCAGCAGGGCTCTGGGGAGGAGCCAGCAGTGGGATGGGGACAGACCAGGAGGATAAAGGCGCCTCTGCCCCCTGCACACTCTGAGACCAGAACAAGGGATTTGCGGGTCACTTGGCCAGCTTCCACTGTAGGAGGGAATTGGGTCTCTCCGTACCCGTGCGCCCAGCAGAGTGGGCACTCAGTGAACGGCCTGCCGGGGCAACTCCAGCATGACCAAGTGAGGTCTTGCTAGGTAAAAGCAAGACCCTCCTGGGCCTAAGGGAAAATAGGCCGGAGCTCACTCCATCCTGAGTGTTAGGCAGGGAGAGCTCTCAGCGGAGATGAAACGCCTGAACAAAGACGGTTAAGACTGGTTCATGGTGAAGCTCAAAGCTGAGGTTGGGCTCACTCGATTGTCGTATGTGAAGCCCTGGGTTCCATCCCAGCAACGGAGGGGGAAGAGAACGGGGTGGATAATGCATTGAGAGCAATAGCAAAATGTTTGGGAATAGCCACTGGCTACTTACCCAACATGCCACACTATACCCCTGCTCACTTCCTACTGCCAAGACCATACCCATTTTGCAGAGGAAGGAAGCAAGGTTCAGCTAGGCAAGAGGGAGGGCTTATCCCTCAGCTTGAATACAGAGGGCTGCAACAGCCTCACCAATCAAGGAGAGTGAGGCAGGCCCCCAGGACCCCCCGCTGCTGTTCATGCCAGTCTGTGAGTCTTGCCTAGGCTGGGGGGCAGAGGTAAAAGGGTCTTCCCCTCTGCTAACCTGCTACCCTTAGAGATGGACGGAATTCCTGTGAAGGTGGATACACACCATGTCAGAAAATAATCTCTCTGCATAGGAGGTTCCAGGGCATTAAGTGGGAAAGATGGTCACCGGTGTTGTCAACGCCTCATGGAGCCTTCAGCCCCCCCTGCATTCACAGACGCACAGAGAGACGCACATACACACACACACAGACACACACACAAACTATAGTAGATCCATACCACCCAGGATGAACCGAGCACAGACTCAGGTGGCACCATTGGGTCCCCAACCTAGACCTTGCAGCATAGGACAGCCAGGGACCCACAGCATCAGTCAGAGCTACGGTTCTTCAACGGGTCTCCCCAGAACCAAGAAGCAAAATCAATATACGACTCCCTTGCTCTCATTGCATGCATTGGCTCGTGTCGAGTGTGTGTGTGTGTGTGTGTGCGCGCGTGCGTGTGTGTGTGTGCTTGTGCGCGCGTGCGTGTGTGTGCGTGCATGTGTTTGTGTGTGTGCGTGCATGTGTGTGCGCGTGCATGTGTGTGCGCGTGCGTGTGTGTATGCGCGCGCATACATTCTACCCTTGTGAGTGCAGATGGAGGCCAGAGGTCAGTGCTGGTGTCTTCTCCTATGGCTCTCCACCTTATTTTGCTTTTAAAGGTTTTCATTTTTAATTATGTGCAGGAGAGGGGGGCTATGCATGTAAGTGCAGAGCCCATAGAAACCAGAGACTTTGGCTTACACTGAGCTTGAGTTGCTGACAGTTGTGAGCATGGATGCTGGGAATCGAACTCTGGTCTTTAAGAAATAGCAGTGCTCATTCTTACCGCTGAGCCAACCACTTCCGCCTTACTGTTGGAGACAGTGTCTCTCAAAGAACCCAGAACTCACCATTTCAACTAGACTGGCTGGTTGGCGAGCTCCTAGAACCCCCCTGTGTCTGCCTCCCCGTGCTGGCGTTATAGCCACGGGCCACAGCATCCGGCTCTCCCATGGTTGGGTACTGGGGACACGAACTCAGCCCCTCATGCTTGCACTGAGTCACACTTTTAAGGATCCAATCCCAGAGCTCAGCCCAGACCTAAGAGAAGAGCTGCCCAAGCACCAGGGACTTTGCAATCTCTTCAGGAGATGGTGACATTTGGGACTCCTTCCTGGATGATGCTTCTCTTGTCCCCTACTCAGAATCCCCCGCCCCCAAGAAAGAGATGATGTCACCAACGCCTCATGGGAAAGAAAAAGTACAACCGGGCCTGCCACAAGCTGCAACCCCTCTCTGCTTTACCTGATGAGATTATTTTACCTATGAAGTGCCCACACTAGGAGGAGAGATGGCTGTTGGCCACACAAAGGCCTGCCTGAAGGGAGCTGGTTTCCACAGGGAGAGATCGAGGCAAGTGAGTCCCCCTTACCCCTAATGAGGTCTTAGTGGAGGAAAAACCGCCCTGACCTAAACTGTTCTACATCACAAAAGCTCAGCAGAGCACCACCAATTCCAAGCCTAGGAGAGTTTGCTGGTCCCATTCTCCCCAAGTTGGCGGCCAGCCCTACAGAGATGGTGCTGGCAAAGGATCTGGGCCCCTCAGGGTCTTCTGAACCCGGAACCCGTCAGCATGGGACAGCATGGGAAAGGGGCGCACAGAAAAGCTCTTGCCGTAAGCCGGAGGTCTCTCCCTGGACATAGGAGCTGCAGAGCAACACGCCCAGGTGCAGTTCCCAGTACTGCCTAGACCTGTACAAGCTACGTGTGCCACCTTGCCTCGCTCAGCCTGTGAACAGCTGGAGTGCCCAGAACATGCCAACTTGGTGGTGTACAGTTGCGCTAAGGATGAAGCTCATGGGACATGACACACTCAATAAGCAGGACACTGGACTTCACAAGGCTCACTGGTGGCCCCCAGCCTTCCCACCGCGGAGACAGCCTGGTAAAACACACACTGCCGTTTCTGGAGAAGTCCATGGAGCCCTCTGCCCTCTCCAGACTCTGGGGTCCCGGGGGGCATCCCTACAGCCTGTCCGCTAATGACTGGGCCACACCTCGGAGGGGCCAGTCAACCTCACAAACAGTAACAAGCTAGAAGAGGCCACCCACTCCGGAAAGAGAGCAGAAGGCTTGGGCTGGGAGGAACACATCTCCAGGAGCAGTTCCTGGATGTGGCCTCCCTGATGCCCAATTCCTTAGGCTGGGGAGAGGAGAGCCCAATTAGTAAGGACCCCTTTGTTCTAAGTCTATGGAGAGTGAGGAGCATGGGGCTAAGGTACTGGGTTGGCCAAGACCTGCCACCGCGCACAGAAGACCGATATGGGGGGGTGGGGGAGGCAGGGGCCATGCACTGCACCAGAGCCTCCATCTACACCCAGCTGCCAGTCAACTGCCTGTCCTTCTGGGTGGTGCAGAGTCGACTCAGTCAAAGCCGTCCCCGGGCCCACTTTGGGGCTTCCACCCCAAGACCAGGCCACCGCTGCCTTGCGAGTCAAACAGCTTGGCAAAGACCCTTCCACACACACACATCCATGTCCTGCATCCCAAAGTAAAAGAAAGTGGTCCTATAGCCGTGAGCCCCTGGTGAGCGGGGCCACCCCTGCGCCCTTGGAGAGGCTGCTATAAGGGGGACACCTGGTGAGGAGACACCGGCGATGCAGAGACAGGAGATCTGTGAAGTTGGGCCAGTGGAGAGTCACACCTGGGACTGATCTAGAGGACTGTGGAGCAAGACAGACCTTCCTTCATTCATCAGCTCGACCTTTATAAACCCATTTCCTGGTGCGGCAAACAGACAGCAGCAAGGGAAAGAGGAGACACGGAGAATACACATCCAAGGGAGTGCCCAGGACCCTTGGGCCCTTGCCATCACTACCTGAGCGCTCTACCAGTCTCGCCACCCCTCTCCCTCCCAAACACAGTCACATTTGCCAGGGAGGGGGCGACAGGCCAACCTCGCAGCGGCAGGAGCCGCAGCATCATCATTAGGCATGAATCACCCACCCACCCCTCTCCAAGCAGCAGAGCCACACTACGCCCGGGCGCCCCCTCCCGGGACCACCGCCCCCCTTGCCCCGGCACAGTCAGAGCCCTTAGGACCGGAGGGGGCCGCGGGTGGGCTGGAGATGCACTGAAGATCTGGGATGGTCCCTAGCTCACGCTGACAGGCGACATCCTGCCAGAGCCGGGGGCGGGGGAGCGGGTAGAACAATGGGCCAGGTGCGGGGCAGGGGCGCGGCCGGGAAGGGCGGAGGGAAGGTCGCGGCTCACTGGGGATCAGGGATCGGGATCCGGGGCGCACTCACAGTAGGTTTTTCTGGTCAGCTCCTCCACAACTTCAGGCTTCAACTTGCTGTTGGATTTCCCCATGCTCGGCGGCCGCGGCCCCCGCTCCCCGGGCCAGACCCGCTTGGGGCGCCCAGCGGGAGCGGCTGGGTCGGGCCGGGGCGCACGGAGGCCGGCAGGCCGGGCTGGGCCGGGCCGGGGCCGCGCCTTTGTCTGGCCGTGCCCGCGCGTCCCGTGCGCGGGGCTCCGGCGGGCTGTGCGACCGCGGTTAGCGGCTCGAGGGGCCTTGGGGAACCGGTGGCGAGGGCCAGGCCTCGGCGGTACAGGCGGCCACGGCGCGGAGTTGCGCGGGGCTGGGCGCCGCAGCCGCCGGCGCTCGGAAGCCGCGGTCGTCCCTGGTTACTGGGCTGCGCAGCACATGCTCGCAGCCGCTGCGCCGCCGCCGCCCCTGCGCTCCCCGCCTCCCGCCCGCATCGGCGCGCCAGGGGTGGACTCCGAGCCGCCACTCAGCGGCCGGCGCCACCTCCTGCCCAGCATCCGCCGGGCGCGCGCCCCGCGTGGAAGCACCCCCTTTCCTGTTGGCTCTCCCGGGATGCCCAAGAGGTCGCCGCGCCACCCCCTCCGCAGATCCATCCCCCCTCTCCGCTGCGGCGTGGGCGGGGAGGGCCCGGAAAATCGGACGTGAACGAGGCCAAGTCCCTGCCCGGCGCAATTCATTCATTCCACTTGGATGTGCTGGGCGCTGGGGACGCGGCCGCCAACCCGACAGGCACGATCTCAGGCTTCTCTTGGAGCATCCTGAAGTGCTGGCTGGCACGGGTTGCAGTGGGAACACTTATGTGCGGCCTTGGAGGAAGTGACCTCCAAGATCAGGTTGAGAAAAGGCTGGGGCATCAACCCAGAAAGGGTCTGGCCTGAGAGGGAGAGCAGCCTCGGTACCCGAGGTTCCAGGCAAGACTGGGCAACCATCTGCAGCCAGGAAGAAGGGCCAGAGCTTCTGGAAACCAAGCAAGCCGGCTTTCCCCAAGGGCCTGGCCTCTGTCCCAGGGACCATGAGCACAGTTCTTTAGGCCTTCTCTGTTGTCGGGTTTGTTTGGAAAAGCCAGGGGAGTTGAGCCTGGCTGGTGGGGCTTCACACTTGGACCCTCAGAGGTTGGCACCTAGGGAGGGACTTTAGGGAGAGCCTGGTTGGCCTGCCCTGCCCCCTTCCAAAATGTCATTGAGATCTTCCTTTCCTGTCTTTCTGCCCAACACTGTCTGTATCTCCTTAACAGCTGCTCAGGGAAGCTTGGCCAGTTTGGTTCAGTATGGTTTGCTTCCCCCAAAGCATAAGCCCTCAGGGGCAGAAATATGCCCTGCTCCCAGAAGGCCTGAGCCAGTCTTGGTGGCAGAGGCCTGGGAGCCCAGCTATCCAGGAAGCAGAGGCAGGAGGATCCCTGATTCACAGCCAGCTTAGACAACATACTAGCACTCTCAGGGAAAGAGCAGAGAACAGGAGAAGAAGGAGGCATGGCCCATGGCCGAAGCCAGAACCAGCGGTGTGGAAAGACCACAGCAGGATGAAGCCATCCCCTGAGCCATCCGGGATGCAACCACAGACAGAATTTCTTTTTCGACCCCCTCAGAGGGGCCAGAAGGTGGGGGGGGGATTCCAGAGGGAAGCCATGGACCAGTAGTGATCAGGCGGCAGGGTTAACAGCGCCTCACAGAGCTGTGAGCCTTGCCTTACAGAGCCGTGAGCCTTACAGAGCCGTGAACCAGGCCTATCGCTCCCCACTCAGGGGGTGGAGGCAGGAGGCCAGCAGCTCAATTGAGGCTAGCCTTGACCACATAGTGAATTCAAGGACAGCTTGAGTTCTTATGAGATTAAAAAAATAAGAGGAAACCCAGGTGCCCTGCCATTTGTCGGGTACTGTGCTGAGGACGGGGGACACTGCAGGTGACCAGCATGAGAAATGGACATGTCTCAGCCAGCCCCATGGACAACAGCAAAGCCACACTGGTCGTGAACACCATACAAGGAACCAGGAGGACTCTGGTGGATACAAGGGCCAGCCAAGTGCCTGACTTCTCACAGTCATCAACATTGGGTTAATGTTAACTGAGCACCTACTATGTGCCAGGTCACAACAGGACTGACAATGTAGTGGTCAGAGGACAATAGAAACAATGGTCAGTGAGCACAAGAGATACCGTGTTCCATAACCTGGGGAATGGCACAAGGAAGATAGTCAGAGGTAAGGCCAGGATCTGTGAGCCCCCTGGGAGGGAATCTGGCCAACGACCTGAAGCAGGACGGAGGACAAAGTGAGGCTCTGTGCAGAGCCAGGGCAGTGCAGCTGGAACAAGAGAAGCCCCACGGGGTTGGGGAGTGGGGGGTAGGGGTGAGATGGGCGAGAAGCCAACTGTGGTGGACCAGTGAAATAATCAAAAGGGTTTATCCTGGAGGCTCAAGGTCTAAAGTGTATCTGGTGGTGGCCCTGCTGGTAGAGCCCCAGGCAAAGACGGGGGGGGGGAGCATTTGCTTTCTCTCATAAAAGCCTCCAAGCTTTCCCGGCACAGCGGTACACATCCCCAGTCCCAGCGCTGACACAGCTGGGTGAAGAATGGAAGCTCGGTGTGTGAAGTGGGAGCCAACTGAGATGATAGCTCAGCTGACGAAACGCTTGCCTCAGAAGCCTGGGGGCCTGAGCTGGAGCTCCACAGCCCATATTAAAACAAAACAAGCCGGGCGGTGGTGGCGCACGCCTTTAATCCCAGCACTCGGGAGGCAGAGGCAGGCGAATCTCTGTGAGTTCCAGGCCAGCCTGGTCTACAAAATGAGTTCCAGGACAGCCTCCAAAACAATACAGAGAAACCCTGTCTCGAAAAAAAACCCCATAGTGTGAGTCAGCTCTCCAGCACCCATGTAAGGGTGAGGCAGGTGTGGCAGCTACCTGTAACCCCAGTGTTCAGCAAGCTGGTTGGCTACACTCACTTAACCCATGATTAAGTTCTGGATTCCGTGAGAGACTCTGCCTTAGTAAGATAAAGTGAAGAGTGGCCAAAGGAGACCCTGATGACAACCTGTGACCATGCACACACATGTGCACACTCACCCAACACATGTGAATCCATGAACATGTGAACATGCATATACATACACACACCACACATGTACACGGTGGGGTAGGAGAGCCAGGCATAGTGGCAAGCACATGACAGGCAAATCACTGAGCTCATTGGCTGGCCTAGCCTGGTTGGAGCCACGTCCCAATGACACGCCATCTCAAACAACAAGGTGAGTGACTCCTGAGAAATGACACCTGAAGCTCACCTCTGACTTCACATACACGTGTGCGTGCCCACCCACAAACCTGTACACACGTGCACACTCACTTTAAGCCCCCAATGCTGGTTCACAACCATTCATAACTCCAGTTCTAGGGGGTCTGACGCCCCCTTCTGACCTCCAAGGATACCAGGCATGCGTGTGGAGCACAGACATACATGCAAGCAACACGCTCATACACACAGAATAATAAAATAAATAAGTCTAAAGAGTTTTGAATGTGTGACCCACGACAGAGGGCAAGTTAGAGGTGGGGTCAGGTCAGGATCACACCGGGAAGGCTCACTGCAGGCAGGCGTGCGGCGTCAAACCCTGCAGTTCAGCCAATGATTGCCAGGCCAGGGTGCAGGGAGGACGGAAGAGCCCCGACTAGAGGCAGACAGTGCAATCAGGAGCCTGGGGGACTGGGTAGGACTGTGAGATGGCAGCAGGGACAAGGCAACACGTGTGACCCGGGCAGCTAGGAGGTAAGGAGTGGGCATTGCACATGGTGATGGAGAGGTGACAGCTGAGGTCACTGACATGCGCAGGGGTGCAGGGATGGAGGCTGAGGACACACCCACAGGGGAGCAGGGGTGGAGGCTGAGGGGCTGATGGACACTAATGGACAGAGGTGCAGGGGTGGAGGCTGAGGCTCTGATGGGCACACTCACAGGGGTGCAGGGATGGAGGCTGAGGACACATGTGCAGGAGTGCAGGGATGGAGGCTGAGGGGCCGATGGACAGTAATGCACAGGTGTACAGGGATGAAGGCTGAGGCTCTGATGTACACACTCACAGGTGTGCAGGGATGAAGGCTGAGGGGCTGATGGACACACAGGGATGCAGGGGTGGAGGCTGAGGACACACTCACAGGGGTGCAGGGATGAAGGTTGAGGCATCAATGGACACATGCACAGGGGTGCAGGACAGGTGCAGGAGCCACCGGGATGTGAACCGGCTCAGGTCTAGGCTGAGGGCATTGTGGTGGACACAGGGAATGGCACCTAGGCACAAGGCCACCCAGGGACAGCAGGGACTCTGGCAGGGCAGGGTGTCCTAGAAGTGACTTGGAAGAGGAGCAATAGGGAAGGGGGGTCCCTAGAGCACCCAGAGCCCCTGTGCAGACAGCGAGTTGTCCCCAGGGGACGAAGACCCCTAGGGTGCATGGGGTGGCAGGGGATGGGGAGGGTGGGGACAGCCCAGCACCTGTGAAAAGCATAATTGGTTGAGAACAATTGGCTGTGTGGTGCTAAGAGGGCCGTCCCCATGTGAGAGCCTGCGGAGTCCCCTAGGAAAAAGCACCTTTGGAGGTGAGGACATCTGGGGCAAACAGGGTTGAAGACAGTCATGAGCTGAAACACAGGATGCGGGGTGTCCACGAGGCATGAGGACGAAGGGTTGCATGCTCAAAAAGAAAGCAGGGTTGGGGTGTGCAGCCCAGTGGGTAGGGTGCTGCCTGGCCGGCACAGATCCCTGAGAGTGACCCCCAGCACTGCACAAACGCCTGGGAGGAGCTCAGGACCAGCCTCGGTCACATGTGAGATTGAGGCTCTCTCTCCTGGCTTGTGTGAGATCCACAGCCCGCACAAAGGTGGAGAGAGAGTTTTGCCCTCTGACCTCCACATTGACTTTGTGGGACACAAGTTCCCACACACATGCAAACACCTGGAATAAGCAAGTGAAATTAAAACAGAACGAAGCCGGACGTTGGTGGCGCACGCCTTTAATCCCAGCACTTGGGAGGCAGAGGCAGGCGGATCTCTGTGAGTTCGAGGCCAGCCTGGACTACCAAGTGAGTTCCAGGACAGCCTCCAAAGCCACAGAGAAACCCTGTCCTGAAAAAAAAAAACAACAAAAAATAAATAAAACAGAACGAATACACTGGTTATACTTTCCGCTCCACGGCTCAGGGACCATTGTGGAGGAAAGGGGGTCAGAAGAAAGGTAGGACGCAGGCTGGAGACCCGGCTCAGGAGGTAGGAGAACCCCATGCTCTCCAAGAGGACCCCGGTTTGATTCCATGCACACACAACCGTTTGCAACTCCACTTCCCGGAGATCAGACTCCCTCTTCTGGCTTTCCTGGGTATTGCATACTTGTGGTAAATG